CCACTACTGGTCGATGAGCCTCCACTAGAGGGGAGCTCTAGACTGCCCCCCCCCCCTCCAGAGGGTATTTTGGGCCACTTCGTCACGCTCGTGGCACATCTTGGATGCAGCGGAGTGTACCCACACTGCACTGGTAAAACAAAGCAAGGACGATGCGTATGTTATCAAAGCACATTTAGTTTGCATGTTTCACCACATGCATGTGCGGTTAATGCAGACTTGATGCCTAGTTATAGGTGTCTATGTGGTGTTTTCACATCTAAAAAACCTACAGTGTTTATGCCAGAAATGGTAAAGCCTTTTTTTATCATCTTAATTGAGTACCGACAAAAAGGGTCCCATAGACACATATTTATATGTTTCCTTTAGGGCAGCGTTATTGACGAATATATCGAGTGTTTGTGAAAAGCCGCGTGAAGCTTAATAGAGTATCAGCGGGGAAGGTGAGCAGAACACAACAGAACACCGCTCAGAACAAATCATTACTCAAGTTGTGGCTGCTTGACTTTTCAGCCCTTTGGCCATCAGCAGCTGTGCCTGGCGTCCGTACCACGAACCGCCAACCACGCACAGTGGTGGTGGCATTTGGGAGGGAGAAACGAATTAAACATTATACCATGGTGGGGCCGTAAATTAAGTTTTGGACTGGCACTTGCCACAAGGAACGCAAATCGATAGGCTATCAAATTGTGGATTTCAGGGTAAGATTTCAGGGTCACAGAGGCTTTTGGTTCACCATCGAACAAAGACGGTCACCGCATCACGCACTTTCAGATGCGCTTCTGTGGCCGTCTGGAACGCTCTTCCTTCTGATATTAGGAAGCCGCTGGGAGCTATGCACTTTCAAATATAGATTAAAAACTCATTTCTTGAGAACTGATTTTTGTTTTTCGTTTGTTATCCTTCCCCCCGCACCTCGGACTAGCACGGTTGGCTACGTATGGTGCAAAAGAAGTTCAACGTACGTACAAAGAGGCCACGTGTCAGCAGTAACACGGCCCCCAGCTCTGCGCTATGTATTTTGAACATTGACACTGGACGAATCTGATTTTTCACAGACGCAGAGCGAGCGGACGCAACGCAATGTTTCTCGCGCAGGTCAACACGGCCGACTCGTCGGGCAGTGCTCGCGAATGCAATTTAAAACTGCCATTACCCGCGGCAGCAATTATTAAGACCGATGATGAATCATCGTCTCTAACCGAGCGAGGCGTTCCCACCAGTGCCCAAGCTGCCCTCCATTCTGCTGGAGATGATTACGTAACACTGTGTCAACGTTCATGCAGCATTAATGTGTAACAACAATAATACATAACCGCGACATTATGGCGATTCTAAATCAACCAACGGATGAAGGTGTCCACCCATGGCATGTCGGTCTCATGTTTTTTTTTTATTGACCATACTTCACCACGCCGGTTCAGTGGGAGTTTGTGTAGAGGGGAAGGACAAGGTCTGATACCACTCGCCCAGAACTCATAGCCCGGGCAGGGATTTGAACTCGAATCACCAGCGCACGCCACTCCCCACCACGTGAATGCGCGCGTGCTCATAGCGTGAAACAACCGCGGATTGCACACGCGCGTGTCAGTGCTGCGTGTTCTACGCAAATCACGTGAGGGCGATAGTTCGGGTTTTGACGGTACCGTCACACTTCACCAAAAGCATGGCATGACGCTATAATGGATTTTAATGTGCAATCAATGTAATGGGGTGCTCAATAACAGCCACTAGTCAAAGAGTAAAGACGTTAGTGCAAGATAATTGTACATCTATTTAAGTTCCTGTTTACTTTTTGACAAATTATTAAGAGCCGGGATGAGAATGGTCGTTGAAATGGCAGGATGCTGAACTGTGCCCCGACTTCAAATGCCTACATTTAAAATAAAAATATATATATCGCAGGGTCAACTGAAAATGTTTCCACTTGCGATCCTCATCATCCTCATCATCATCATCATGAACTGCTGCCAGCAGCCATGGTCAATCCGCTGCGAGATTAAAACCTCTGAAGCCTCCGCCTGTCTCCGTGACGGCGACGCCACTTCTCTTCTCGGCTTAATCCCTCGCACCACTCCTCTTGGGAATTCGCTCTCCATCGTATCTTGTCCCCCCACCCCCCATCCCAAGCTTTTGCAACTTAAGCTTTTGACTCTCACGACATGAACTATAGTGCTGAAAAATAAGAATAGGTTTTACCCTTTCTGGCAATAAAACGGGAGGTGTTCAAACGTTCAAACACCAAATATGTACCTTTTTGCAAGGATTCAAGTCTGCATTAACCACCACGTACTTGTGGTGAACATGCAAACAAACGTGCTCTGATAATAATCTCAGCATTGTGTCTGAAACTGATTGGCCTACACCAGAGACAGGAGCCTTCTTCATTGGCCTCGTCTCACCAGAGAACGCCAAAAGGCTACCACGATAGTGCTGTTTGTTGCTGCCCCCTTGACGTTTTGAGCTATTGAGACCGGCGCTCAGAGATCGTGTTAAAAAAGAGACATACGATGAAGACGATGATGATGATGATGATAAGATGCATGGACGGGTGCATCATTCATTCAAGCTGGAAGCACTCACCTAAACCTCTCATACATTATTTACACACGCGGTAAATACCTTACTTACGATAGCAATACAACTCCAGATGTAGGATGCTTGGCTGTGAAGTTCAATACCTTCACCGGTGAATTAGATGTTTATTTTAGATGCTTGTAAAAATGCACTAAAGCCGTCAGAAAAAAATTTAAAACTACCGTGCGTTTTATAACCAAGAAACGACTGCCCTATGCTTCAATCCCACGTGGCCGGGAGTTCATCTGTAGAATTATTACTTACCAAACACGTTTAATAAAACAAAGTAGAAAAAAAAATCAATCGTCTTATACAGTGCAACATTGATTTACTGCGGCAATTTCTTGTTTGTTTCTCAGAGGGCTCATCAGAGATTGCTGCAACTGACCCCACAGACCACGAATATATAAACATTATGCCCCGTAATTGTGCTCTCTTGCCTGAAAATGGCCCCTGTGCACGTGGCGGGGGCAGGAGGAGTCAGGAGGGAGGAGAGGCCTTTGATGAGCACTGATGCCACCGGACCGCGCTCCAAATTGCTCTGGGAGCAACTTCCTGCTCCCCGATGAGCTCCCGCGAGCCACATCGAAGCAACCAATTCCCACCCCCCGACCCTTTTGAAGACGCGAACCCGTGCGCATTTTTTGCGCAAACACCAGCGGTGACCCTCGACTGCGCGAAGAGGATGCATGCCCAGCACGGCATTTCTTTTCTTTTTTTGTGCTTCGTAGATACCAGCATTCGAATCTGCTCCGTCTGTACTGTTGGGGCAGTTAGCAGGTGCGCAGCGGTGTTCACAATTGCAATTGCAAAGTGTTAAAGCAACAACAAAAAAACCCTAGTAATTATTCTTTTTGATAAGCGGCGAACGTCAAAATAGCCGATAATGATTTGTGATGCGGCATTACAAATAATTGTGCGTGTGCTGTTCTTATTAACATGGGGGTCACAACACGTACGGTTTTACGTTATTCATGAAACACTGTCCCGTATTCACGAGCATTGCGGCTCTCTGAACATTTCGTTGTTTGACCAAATTCGAAAAAAACGCCTCTCCTTGTTACTTTAATTGCTGACCGTTGCCCGAAACCCTTCCGCCTCTGTCCACCCAGCAGAACAAATCAACGGGTACCGCCACTTCTTCTTCTTGGTTCTTTCGGTAAAGTCACGTAGAATGGAAATAATAAAATAATAAACATAAAACATAATAAAATAATTCTCACGACGTTTCGGCCACAACGCAAGCAGCCGAAACGTCGTGAGAATTATTTTTATTATGTTTTATTGTTATTGTTTTATTATTTCCATTCTACGTGACTTTACCGAAAGAACCAAGAAGATGAATCCCTGCTGTCACGAAAGCTTTAAATCGAAATTTAAGGGTACCGCGCTGTTCGTCAAAACGGTAGGCCGTGCGTGGCGGGGTAGAGTGTGCAATAAATACAGGTCCTCCTCCGAGACGTCTGGCCATGCGTGGAAAGTGCGCACAATATCTTCCAGAGAGGCCGACCGAGTTATCTCTCTCTAGCGGAGAAGCTGCTGCCAGCACAGGCGGTCGGGGGAAAACATTTGCGGTGCCGGACCTTTGAACGAATTTCAGCAGCGGTGCGATGGACACGCGTTCGTGTGCCGTCAACCTTCCGCGTTCGACCGAGGCGTCGCCGAATCTGGGTCGGTCTTTGGTTGACGTGTAAAGCCCTTCGGCTGTGCCGCACCCAATTACTGGCACACCTGACAGCACTGCTGAGCACTCCAAAACACCGCCGTCTGCAACTCAACACTCGCTGAGGCTGCATCCTGAAATCCTCACGCGTGCTGCCACAGCTCGAATGCGCCTCCCATGTTAGAGCGTCTGGCATGAAATCAAACAACAAGGACATCTATTTTACTGCTAGCACATGCAGGGTTCTAATCACGTGTTCTTTTTGTCGGACACGGCCAACATCAGTGGCCAGTGACACAACTTGGTTGAACCTCCAGGTTCACTCAGCCCCCCAAGATCGTACCTGGCGTGGCGTGCGTACAAAAGCATCCCTCGTCCACAATGCAGGACGTAATAGGCGCTCACTAACGGCACCTCTGCTCTGACCGTACATGCAGGCTACACAAGGGGACCTACGCCTCTGTCCCCCATATATAAGGCAAAGACCCCCCATACAGCCTTAACTGACTTTCGGTGCAAGTGCTGTTTTATATACACACACACAGAATGACGGCAGCAGCAACAACAACATCATTAGCTATCCGCCACTGAGTGATGGTAACAATCCCGCAGTGCCCGTGCCACGCCTCGGTGCGCTTCGAAGCCACGTGCAGCGCACAACCAAATCTGACCGTCGATCATCAGGCGGGGAGAGTGCGCGCGCTCCTCCTTGAGGAGTAGGGGAGGAGGAGGGGGGGTGGTTCGACGACTCCGCACGTACCCGGAAGGCGGCGAGCACGATGCGTGTGACCTTCTCCTTGACCGACTCGTTGAGGACGTCGGCCAGCGCCGGCACGGGGCTGTTGGTGCGCAGCAGCTCGCACACCTGCGGGCTGAAGGCGAGCAGCCACAGGCAGAAGCTCATCTGGTACTGCAGCTGCACGCCGCACCTGTTGTGCAGCACCGCCATGATGCTGCCGGAGAGCGCACGGGGGGAGGGGGGGAAGACGTCGGGTGAGCGTGGGGGCAGGAGAGAGGAGAGGGCAGGTGAGCGTGGGGGAGGAGGGCAGGTGAACTTGAGGGAAGAGGGCAGGTGAGCTTGCGGGAGGGAGAAGGGCAGGTGAGTGTGGGGGGAGAGGGCAGGTGAGTGTGGGGGAGGGAGGAGGGCAGGTGAGTGTGGGGGGAGAGGGCAGGTGAGTGTGGGGGGAGGGAGAAGGGCAGGTGAGCATGGGGGAGGGAGAAGGGCAGGTGAGTGTGGGGGGAGGGAGGAGAGGGCAGGTGAGCATGGGGGAGGGAGAAGGGCAGGTGAGTGGGGGGGGAGGGAGGAGGGCAGGTGAGTGTGGGGGGAGAGGGCAGGTGAGTGTGGGGGGAGGGAGAAGGGCAGGTGAGCATGGGGGAGGGAGAAGGGCAGGTGAGTGGGGGGGGAGGGAGGAGGGCAGGTGAGCGTGGGGGGAGGGAGGAGAGGGCAGGTGAGTGTGGGGGGAGGGAGGAGAGGGAAGGTGAGCATGGGGGAGGGAGAAGGGCAGGTGAGTGTGGGGGGGAGGGAGGAGGGCAGGTGAGCATGGGGGAGGGAGGAGGGCAGGTGAGTGTGGGGGGAGGGAGGAGAGGGCAGGTGAGCATGGGGGAGGGAGAAGGGCAGGTGAGTGGGGGGGGAGGGAGGAGAGGGCAGGTGAGCATGGGGGAGGGAGAAGGGCAGGTGAGTGGGGGGGGAGGGAGAAGGGCAGGTGAGTGGGGGGGGAGGGAGGAGGGCAGGTGAGTGTGGGGGGAGGGAGAAGGGCAGTTGAGTGTGGGGGAGGGAGAAGAGCAGTTGAGTGTGGGGGGAGGGAGGAGGGTCGGTGAGTGTAGGGGGAGGAGGGATGGCTTGAAACTACGCCCAGCATCTTCAGGACAAGATCCAGAAATTCAAAATGAAATCCAGTCTCCTGTCCCGAAAATGTTCGGTGCAGTTTCAAGCCAAACGTCGATAATTATCAAAATTTGGCTGTGAGAATTGCTCAACTCACCGGTGAACTAAAACAATCATAATAATTAGCGCGTTAAACGCGTGTACACTACGTGGTAATTAAATTAGTTTGGCTATGTTGGGTAGTGGAGGGTTCTTATGGCATTACGTTGCGTAACCCAAACATATATTATGAATCATAACATTGTCTCTGCAAAACCTACGTGATGTGAAATGCAGAGCAGTCGTTTGTACGGAGAATCCGTCATCGTCATTATCATCGTCAATGTCATCATCATGATTGGCATCATCACCATCATCACCATCATCACCATCATCATCGCCACTGGGCCATTATCTATCTCATACCGAATAGAGGTTTCTTCACGGTGACACCGTTCCCTGCAGGTCTATGCATGTGAAAGCTCCCAACATAAAGCGCTCAAATCCTCCATGCATATTTTGCGAATGGACCTAAGAGGCAAGGGGCAGGAACTGCCGATACTTGATCACAAACTTGAAAAAGAAATCTCTCTCTCACGTATTTTTTTCTTCTTCCAAAAATTCTTCAACCAACAGGTGACAGAAGACTGGAACACCTCTGACAGCTGTCAATCACAGCAGCAGTCGCACAATTTTTGGAGTCAAAATCGAGTCGTGGAGAGGCTTTCACCCTGATGCAGGACGGTGGTGTCGGGATCGAGCGCGAAACGCAAGTCCCTCTACTGGCCGCTTCTTTTGAGAAATAAAAAAAGAAACAAATAAACGGATTAATTTTTTTTTAATTCACGGGGAAGTTTAATGGGGCACGGCTCCGATTTACGTCGGGAACATGCCACTGGGGACTCGTGAACATCATGCACAGCAGATGCTATCCGTTTGCATTCTCAGGAGCTCGTTGTGGCGAGGCCGCTCGTTAACGATGATGTCCTCACGCTAATGATAAATGCTCGAGATTTTTTACGCGCCCGACTGGTTTTTTTCTCCTTCTCCGAACCGAATGACAGATACGACAGCACGGCCTTGAGGCAATTGTGGAGCTCCGCCGTGCGGCTGCACGACCCAGGAACACGCAAAAGCCGTCCCCTGCACAGGGGGACGTCTCAGATCCGGCGGTATCGCGATCACGCCGACTCTAACAGATTCGTGATTAAAGTGGCCTCCGGGTGAAACATTTGCACTAATATATTTATATTTTTTTAGGTGCTACTTTTTGTTATTTTATTTGAAGGGAAAATAAACGGGACTGTCTGGAAGTTGAGCAAGTATTAGGAAGAGGCATCAACTTCGTAGCCACCGCCCCGATCTAGCAGAGGGAGGGAAAGAAGCGATTCCGAAGCGCAGAGGAATGAACATCATCGGCCGTGACGAACCCATGAGCGAGACGCATTGGCAATGCTCCATGCAATGCTCGCTCTCTCCCCATGACTCTTCTGTCACGACTACCATGGTTACTGTTGCCATGAAGCTCGCTCATCGATTCCTCGACCCCCATGCTGAGGAGTCGGTTCTGATCGACACCAGGCCGTTTCACCTCATTCACTATGTGTTCAACCACCACCGACACTGCAGGGCACAATGACTCACCCCACACACCCACTCACCCACTCACCCACCTACTCACCCACTCACTTACTTACCCACCCACTCACTTACCCACCCACTCACCCACCCACTCACCCACCCACTCGCCCACTCACCCACCCACCCACACACTCACTCACCCACTCACTTATCCACCCACCCACCCACTCACTCACCCACTCACTTATCCACCCACTCACCCACCATCCCACTCACCCACCCACTCACTTACCCACCCACTCACCCTACCCACCCACACACTCACCCACTCATTACCCACCTACGCACTCACCCACTCACTACCCACCCACTCACTCACCCACTCACTTATCCACCCACTCACCCACCACCCACTCACTCACCCACTCACTTACCCACCCACTCACCCACCCACCCACACACTCACCCACTCACTTTACCCCCCTCACCCACCACCCACACACTCACCCACTCACTTACCCACTCACTACCACCCACTCACTCACCCACTCACTATCCACCCACTCACCCACCCACCCACTCACTCACCCACTCACTCACCCACCCACTCACCCACCCACCCACACACTCACCCACTCATTTACCCACCTACTCACCCACCCACCCACTCACTTACCCACCCACTCACCCACCCACCCACACACTCACCCACTCATTTACCCACCTACGCACTCACCCACCCACTCACCCACCCACTCACCCACTCATTTACCCACCTACGCACCCACCCACCCACTCACTCTCCACATTTCTAGCCTTCTCCCTCGCACTTTTTGGAATTCCTCCAATCGTTTCTTTTCCAAAAGCCCCCATAAACTCTCTCGCTTCGAGCAACGTATGAACTTTCGAGAGCTGAGCTGTTAACCTGAGGATGCCGGGCGTAATATCCAGAGAGACGTGACACCCACGAGCACGCTGGGACATCGCTCTCTAACAACAACAACAGCAACACCCGGTGGTGCTGCTAAGACGGTAATACATGTGGCACGTTTGAGTCACATTTATTAATGGGCTGTGTCGGGTGGAGGAGGGTTTACGACACATTTTTTTCCCAAGACCTAAACCCAAACGCCCAATTATGGATCATAACTCCAATCTATTACACCATCTATCGTGCTGATCGTTTTTGGTCGCTTAGCATTTGAGGCTTTTGGGCCTGCGCTCAGGAACCGTGATTTACAAAAAAATTGTCCACTGCAGTTTCAAATAATGTTACTAAATTGCATTCGTCTGCGTCTTCATTCGGACTCGTTCATCTTGTGGCGCCATAGTCAGCCGCACTTTTGTCGCGTGGTTTTCAGGCACACGTAGTCATCGTTGTAAGTACGTACGTTGAACTTCTTTTGCACCGTACATAGCCAACGCGTGCTAATCGTTGAATAAATAAAATATTTTTTAAAAATAAATTTCGTCGAAGAAAACATCTCCGTCGGTGATTTCTCGAGCGGAGGAAATTGACGGCGTCCGCCGCTCCGTACCAGCTGATGCCGTCCTCCTGCACCCACGCGAAGCGGTATTCCCCCGTGCGGAGGATGAGCTGCAGGCAGGACGCGGCGCTCTGGAAGTAGTGCAGCGCCTGCGGGGAGGGGGAGGGCCTCGGGGTCAGAGAGCGGACATGATGCCGTGTAGCGAAAACGACACGGTATCGTGCACGCGTGTTGACCTTCTCTCGCACCGTGCGTTGCCAACCGTGCTAATTGGAGGTGCGGGAGAGGGACCTTCGATTAGCACGGTTGGCTATGAACAGTGGAAAAGAAATTCAACATACATGCAAGCACTAAATGCAGTTCTAAAGACATTGCCGGTTGTCGTGCGATCAGTTTCCCGCCACTTTGTAATTTTAAACAGTTGGGATCACACTTAGCAACATCGCCGCCGGCTGTGAAACTACTGCAGACTGTGTCTGTCAAATACAGCGTCTTCTTGATCGCCTTGCTGACCCGCTTCTACTGGACGTCTGTGACGAAGAGCTTCATAGCTCATCGGATTCCTCCAGGATAAATAAAGATTGTGACTTTGATTCCGTTTCAAACGGTGTGAATACGAAATGTACTAACTCATTCAATGTACTTCGCATGCGTATTGTCTTGAAACAATACAAACGAGGGAGGAAAACACGAGAGACAAACAAGAACCGGATCTTGGGATCAAGTGGCGACCACGAATTTTGCCACATTTTTATCAAACCGCTGGAGGGCCGAAGTCTTACCGATCCCCAGGAGAACGGTAACATCTTAAAATTAAAAGCTTAAAGCCACGAATCGAAACAACAACAACAACAAAACGGTCTCTACGCCGAGTCTGTGTAACATGTTGCCGTCATCGTTGGCGATGCTCGTGCACGAGCGAAGCTGCACGACGAGGCTGGTGCGACGGACGCACAGAGGCCGCAGAGAATTCATTCGATCGCGAGGACCCCCCCCCCCCCCCCCCGTGTCCTTCCCCCCGCACCTCCGATTACCACGCTTGGCTACGCACGCTGCGATAGAAGTTCAACGTGCGTGTGTGCGTTCGTGAGCTGGGCGACACAAGCGCTTCCAATGGGCGGCCCATTTTGGCAACTTTTGTCGGCGTCAGATTTTGTTTCCGTTCCACTAAATCTGACATCCGTCTGCGTCGATCGGGCACTTTTTCAGTTTCACACAAACGCGCGTCGCAATTGTTTGCGATACGCGCGTGCGCGCGTGAGTGCGTGCACACGCGTGTCCACTTGTAAAGATTTTAACGATTTACCAGGCAATCTAATTAGGTAAATAAAAGTCTGCGCTTCTGCCATTACTCTTTAGCTTTACGAGAAGTGCACTTAAAGCTGCCACAGGTAATTAGAGCTGCAGAATTGACTACTGAAGTAATCAATTAGCTTGCCCATTATCGCTTGTCAATCGACTGCCGGGTGAGGGCCTTCCATGTTCGTACGTACGTTGAACTTCTTTCGCACCATACGTAGCCAACCTCCCATGCAGTGTCACCCGTGATGGCTTTTTTTTTTACCATACTTCACCACACTGACCAATGTGGGTTGGTGAAGGGGAGAGCCCAGGTCTGGCTCGCAAATCGCTTCCCCGCTCAATATTAGCGGTGGCTGAGAAGTAAACTCCGGTCATTTGGCTCAGCCAGCAGCGAACGGACAAAAGGGAATTGCCAAAAGACGAATCGTCGCATTGTAAGACAGCGAGAGATGACGACGGCGTGGGGAGGCGTCTACCCAGCAGTGGGTAAATCATGGCCGAGGATGATTGATGATGACGATGAATATGATAACGTGAAGCAGGTGCCAAAATACGTTTCCGAGAAAATAGATGATTTCTCGCGGAGAACACACGAGATGCATGGGAGCCAGCCCCGGCACATGCCGAGACGAGTGAGCGCAGCGTCTCGCGCACCTGACGTGCGTGCGGACAGCCCGTCATTGGTGTGGCGGTGTCGCTCCGTCTTCACGTCGCGTAAATAATTAGCGAGCCACGATCTGAACGCGCGGCCCAACTGTGGTAACGAACTCCGAACCGAACGCGGCGACCGACCAGAGACGATGCTCAAAGTTTTCCATGCTCTAATTGTAACTTTAATTTTTTAATTGCCACTCGTGAAAATGCATTCACGCGCAATGAATGTGTGGAAGGCCGGGGTGTTTAGGTGTGATTTTCTGTTTCTCCTCCTGCGTTATGTAACCAAGGGGTGCCCATTAATGTCACACAAACTGTCGCTCGCGTCCACCCCGCTGTGTTTATCACGACAACATTGCGAGCTGCTCACTGGCCACGCGACGCTGCCACGGTGTAAATGGTTAATACATTGGACACCAGAGGTCATCGGTTCAATCTCATCTTCTGGCGTGGCAGCTGAAGCAATGAAACACATTTCTTACCCCCCCGTCCCCCATTGCCTCTGTCCGTCCAGCAGTAAAAAAAAAGGTTACATCTTTTTTTACTGCTGTGAGTCGATTGGCAGGTCACTCGTGGTGGAGTAAAGTGTGAGTAATGCCACATCTTCCTAGACGCCGAGAAGTCGGTCAAAGTCACTGCAGAGGCGGAAGTGTATCGGGTGGAGGCCCTTCCACCAGCAGTGGCACGAGCAGGACATTGCAGGGCTGCACCTTTGCCTTTATTTTTACCTTTACCAATGGTCATGCAGTTATTCGAGCCAGCATAATAATCAAACGCGCGCTACAAATAACGAGCGCAGTAGGTTGCATAGGAGCGGAGTAGTAGATCAGTAATTAGCACGCTGCACCATGAACCCCATGACCTGAGTTCATTCCCCAGTCACGGCTAACATCAGTGGCGAGTGATATGCAAACCAGTCCTGCCCCTCCCCTCCACCCTCCTTTACATTGACCAGTGTGGTGAAGTATGGTCCAATGACCTGTACGACCGAGGCCTCAATCCAGCGGGGGAATCACAAACCGCTGTAAATGTACTAATATATTCTTTGGTTCTTTCGGTAAATTCACGTAGATAGAAAAATAATAATAATAAAGTGAATTAAAATAAAATAATGAATATTTGAACCGGTTCTGGGCTTCTGCTAGGTCGACTCAATCGCAAATGAGTGCCTGGTACGGTGTGCAAACATCAACACTGGGGAGACAAAGGCGGCCGGGCGTGATGCTGGCCACCCACCCCCTTGAGTGCCGTGCTGGCCTTCATAGGTGCTCGCGAACAGCACTCGCCCCAATATTCTGCTAAGGCTATAGGCGGATATTTGTCTTACCAAGCTGACACGGCTGTCTTTGCCTCTTTAATAATGTATGGCACCTTCATGGACGCTTGTATTTTAATACGAGTTCCATTTTAAAGTGGGTTTTGTGGGTTTATTGTTTGGTCTTATTGGGTTTTTGAGATTATTATGTTTTATCGTCATACTTTTCACAGGTTCGACAATTCGCGAGCGCCAAAATTAGACATCCGCCTCTAATGCATCACCCAGTGTCTGAGATGCACCACCAAACGGCCCAGTGTCTGAGATGCACCACCAAACGGCCTAATGTCTGAGATGCACCACCAACGGCCCAGTGTCTGAGATGCACCACCAAACGGCCCAGTGTCTGAGATGCACCACCAAACGGCCCAGTGTCTGAGATGCACCACCAATGACCCAGTGTCTGAGATGCACCACCAAACGGCCCAGTGTCTGAGATGCACCACCAACGGCCCCATAGACAGGGACCACAACCGCCACGTGCATCATGGGGGTGTCCATTCCGTATCGCTCCGTGTGGGTCAGGGAGTGAGCAAGAAGGTGTCGCAGAACGTGGAGCGATCTCTTTTGGGCATCGTACCGGACACCAGCACGGTACGGTGCACGCCGATATAACACATCGGAGGAGCCGTACGGCACAACCAACGCAGTGGAATTCTTTGCCCGAGATTTGACTTTCGGGCAAGGGGGGGAAATTGTATTTTTTTCTTTTATTGTTTAATGACGTTTGCTCAGATTGCGTGATATAAAAATAGCGGTACGTGAGAAAGGTAAAACAAAAAGAGACGCTTCTCCTAATGTTCTCGTGGACACACGGGTGTATGTACCATCGATTGGAATTTCCGCAAGGAATTGCTTCAGAGATCTACCATCGCTGGCGGTATAATGTGCATTTAATCTCCGCGCACCCCACAACCTCCAGCGCGCACGGACTACGCGAACAGCCGAGCAATGAGGTGCAGTCACAGCCCCCGCAGAGCCGAGTAGCCCCCACCCGCGACCCGACCCCCCCCCCCCCCCGCCCCCCCGAAGGTCCCACGGCCCCAGTGGCCCAACCCGTACCTCGCTGTTGCCTCCGCCGCCCACTCCATCCCCGACCGCCGCTCGGAGCTTCTGCAGCAGCCACAGACACAGCCACAGCCACAGACACAGCCACAGACACAGCCACAGACACAGCCACAGACACAGCCACAGCCACAGACACAGCCACAGACACAGCCACAGACACAGCCACAGACACAGACACAGCCACAGACACAGCCACAGACACAGCCACAGACACAGCCACAGACACAGCCACAGACACAGCCACAGCCACAGACACAGCCACAGACACAGACACAGCCACAGACACAGCCACAGACACAGCCACAGACACAGCCACAGACACAGACACAGCCACAGCCACAGACACAGCCACAGCCACAGCCACAGCCACAGACACAGCCACAGCCACAGACACAGCCACAGACACAGCCACAGCCACAGACACAGCCACAGCCACAGACACAGCCACAGCCACAGCCACAGACACAGCCACAGACACAGCCACAGACACAGCCACAGCCACAGACACAGCCACAGCCACAGACACAGCCACAGACACAGCCACAGACACAGCCACAGCCACAGACACAGCCACAGACACAGCCACAGACACAGCCACAGACACAGCCACAGCCACAGCCACAGACACAGCCACAGACACAGCCACAGACACAGCCACAGACACAGCCACAGACACAGCCACAGCCACAGACACAGCCACAGCCACAGCCACAGACACAGCCACAGACACAGCCACAGCCACAGACACAGCCACAGACACAGCCACAGACACAGCCACAGACACAGCCACAGACACAGACACAGCCACAGACACAGCCGCCGGTCAAAGATTGGGGGAGAGGCGGGGGGAGAAGATGCAACGGCATCAGCGCAAAAACGACCAACCATGGAAAAAAAGCACATCTACGTACGCGTTTGTGGTTGCACGGCTCTCCGTTGTTGTTTTTGTTGTTGTGGAGTTGTGGTCATGTGTTCGTTCGGGGCTCGACGTCCGACGTTTCGCTCGGCGCGCGGTCGCCAGGGCAACGGCGGTGGTGCTGGCGTGGTTGGCATGATGCCCTGGATCAAGGAATTAAATGGGGGGCACTCTGGCCCCTATGGCCCCCATGGGCCCCGGTGCAGTTGCACCGCCTGCGCAGTCAGGCAGCTCCTCCACTGAAGCGAGGCATTTCGAGGGCGACGGTGTTTTCGTGAATTGCGTGAACTTCCCCACGCCGAGTCTGCCCGTCCGGCCCTGATACATCGGCACCGTCGATCGCTGATGCGTCAGGTGGCTCAGGTGGGTCAGTCGAGTGGGTCAGTCGAGTGAGATGAATCCCATTGAATTGGGGCAGAGTTGGGCACACGTTTCTCCCACGAAGGCCACCAAATCAAATTAATATTATTTTAGAATTGCAATAATGCCATGGTGTAATGTAAGGATCATTCTTGATTGAAAAATAATTTCTTTAGAGCTGATTTTTGTGTCTAGTTTGTGGTCCTTCCCCTGCAGCTCTGATTTGCACGGTTGGCTGCGTACGGTGCAAAAGAAGTTCAACATACAAACATTGAAATCTAAATGTCGTCAGCTCTTTCTCACTGTGTACCCAATGAGACCATGATTCAAGCTCCTTAATTCCACCACCCCACCACGAACTCTATCCACCCAGCAGAATAAATGGGTACAGCACAGCAGTAAAATATATTGCCGGGTTACGCTGGTGGGATGAAGTGTGTGTATTCCCACCTCTTCCAAGACATTTGGCCAGTGTGGAAGATTTGGCCAAATACCATCAAGAGGGGATCTATAGAACTCCCTCTAATAGAGGCCCTTTCTGGCAGCAGTCACACGGGAAAGAATGTGCAGGGCTGTGGCTTCACCACGTTCGCATAGCGGAGGAGACAGAGTGATCTGCTTACATTAGGGCTGAGTTGGGCAATTGCCTTCGTACGAGATGGCATCCAGTCTAATGGATGGTTCTGCTGGAGGCTACTGGTCATGAGCGTGAGACTATAGGACACGGTGTTGTGTCGGCCTCCATGGATAATCCACCAATTACAAGTGAACTCCCAGCAGTGGAGTTCAATTCCACGAGGCTGTATGTCAGGAAGAAAAAAAAACAATCCGACAGCGCCACTAAAGGGCAAAGCAATTTCAGTGGCTGATCAATGTGGGTCCTCGTGACTTGTTAAGGGCAGGTTGTGGGCCTGGCGAAGGGAGGGTAGCAAAGACGAAAAATATCCGGTGATGGAATCTGTGCCTACATTACTACATGTTATATTTTATTTTAAAAAAACAACACTGATAATGTAAATTATCTATCCTGGCCATCCTCACTTACACTCAACACTCTGTTTCCGGATGGCCCTGCATTGGTGCATTGGGACGTCTAGCCAATGCCTGGACCAATACAATTAACGAGCAACTCTCTCGCGTGTTTCCAGGCTGCGCCGTTCACAACGATGTTGCGGCATTTCGGTCGCTGAAGTCGCTCCCGGCAAGGGGAGAGGAAATGCCGCGTACCGTGTGAAGCGTTGAAGCCGCGAACACCTCCGCAGGCACTAATAATGGGTGCTTGAAATGAGAGTGCCTGGAGAAAACCCCCCACATATACGAGGGGGTGGCATTCAACAGATGCCCTTTGTTGGCCACCTCACAGCCCCGGTGGTGAACCCATTCCAACTGCTGGGTGGACAGAGGCAGGGCTACATTTAATAACCCTGCACCATCGTTGTGGCATCCCATTAAGTGGAGTAACACACTTTGATCGTCGGTTAAGCACACACGAGGGGACACGCAACACACGGCAGCCTGAATCGAAATGCACAATCCGTCTGCTGCACCCCAGGGATGGCACAGACACCAAGAGAACTGGTTAGGATCTGACAAAGAGAGACAGCCTCCAGGGAGCTGAATATTTTAAACACACAGCCACCGAGGGATTACGCCAAACCTTATTTCAACCTATACTCGGTGTCACTTAATCCTCCATATGTCATTGTACATGGGTATGACACATATGGTCAGTTCCGCAATTTCACGTGCTTATTTTAGACACTTTAAAGATGTGAGTAGTCATTGGTGTAATTGTAAAGCGGATTTCAACTTGGGCAGAGTAAATCACCAGTTGGGACTGCAATTCAGATGGAAATAATCTGCATATAGGAGTCTAAAAACGTGGTGACGGTCGCTTACATTATACATCAGTACTATAATAGCCTCTGCTGAATCAGTGTAATTACCCTGCCTGCCGATGTCTTTGTCAGAAACTTGGACGATGACAAAGATAATTAACTGAAGCTGAAAAGTACACAGAGGAATGGGAAGGTGTGTGCTTGGAACTTTGCCGAGAGACGCGTGGATTGGAGAACATCCCCAAGATAGACACATCAAGTTGACTGAAACATTTTAAGAATCACGTTGACTGTTAACATGCCGGACGCGTCATGGCCACAAGAAATTACGGCCAGCGCTGAAACGAGCACCAATGTCTAGGCCTGATTTTTTTGATGTTTTGAGGTGACCTAAATATTGGAAACAAATCTTTTGTGCACAGCCACGCACACGTTAAGGCCCCAGCGTCGTCATTGTCATCATTGTCGCGTCTATACATAGACTTGTTAATGCACATGTTTCCATATAGCATCAATCATAAGTAATGATTTTGTTATAATCATTCAAAGTCCAAATTTGGCTGAATAGATTAATTACATTTATGCACATTGTTACACTACTTACCATGATTAAGTTTGATGTTTGCAAAATCGCTCTTACAACCTGCTCTCGTCCCCGTTATGTGTCATTTAAACATTTGAATTCCAGCAATGGCAGAGCCAGGATTTTCAGGTAGGGGGGACAACTCCTCCAGCAATAAAAAATGAAAGGAGTTGTTAGTAAGTAAGGAGTTGTTCGTAAGTAAGGAGTTGTTCGTAAGTAAGGAGTTGTTAGTAAGTAAGGACTTGCCCCTTGCTTTTTATTCGACGCGTGTGCGGCGATGGCGCAGCCATCGATCGAGGGTCAAATTCGAACCGCGTTGTGTGATCGGCATCGCGCTCGCTGAAGGTGTTGATGCCTTCAGGGAAGTCGTGTACTGGATACGCAACTGCGCACAATTCTGAGTCACTTATAACTGCTTTGCCGTTACTTATTGACAATTATGGACTCAGATTATTGTCCTATCATCTCATAGAGTCCCTGGCACTTAATAATATGCTACACAGTGGCAGTGGGGGTCGCAAAATGCCGTTTTTCGATCGGATCATTGGAGGGGCACGTGTGACGCGTGTGCGGCGATGCTGCGGCCATTGATCGAGGGCCAACACCAGTGACGATTATCTGAACCGGTCCTGGGCCTCCCCTAGGTCGACTCAGCCTCACATAAGTACCTGGTGCGATGTGTAAACATCGCCACTGGGGAGACAAAGGCGGACGAGCGTGGTGTTGGTCACCCACCCCCTCGTGTGCCGTGCTGGCCTTCATTGGTGCTCGCTAATAGCACTTGCCCCTACAGTCTGTTAAGGCTATACAGGGGATCTTTGTCTCTTTATCTTTGTTCGAGGAACCAAAGTGTGCTCACGGCCCGCGGCCCTCTGCCCGCGGCCCGTGATCTGTGCGCGTTTCCCAGGCCCCTGGCGTGCGGCAGAGGCGCTCGGTACCTGCACGCTCAGGTGGGTCTTGAGCCAGATGAGGTAGAAGCCGAGGTCGCTCCCCTGCAGCAGCTCCCGGCTCATGATGGCCAGGCGAGCCACGACGCGCGCAGCCTGCCCACGCGCAACAAAGACAGGGAATGTGAAAAGGCGGAAAATAAAAATGGTTTTATTTTCAATCGAGTGCCCCCTCGACGTCGGGGCGTCTCGGGGCGCTTTGTACGCCAGAAGCGAACTACATTCTCACCGCATCTCAAACGTTTTAAAGGGCACCTCCGGAAGCAGCTGACCCTGCGCGACCCAAAGTGACTCGGAGCCTGACCATTGATCTGTCAATGTGATGTCGATGATTGCCAAGGGTAATCCAAATTGAGTAATTTGCAGTGTAATCTTTTTTTAATTTGAGGAATAGCACAAATTTGACAAATTTAATTCAGGGCTCCGGCAACACAACGGTCTACTCATTTGGAATTACATCTTTCACGTCCACTGTGAAGCGGACGTCGCGTATTTTTATAGTTCAGACACACTGCAGTAATCACCAGGACGGCCTGCCTGATTCGAACCGCAAACCTCTGCAAACAAGCAGCAAACGCACTACCGCCATCCGAGATCTGCAGCCTGTTGGGGCAGGTGTCATTCGCAAGCGCCTAGGGTGGATACCAACAGCACCACACACGGCTGCCTCTGTCTGCCAGGTACCGATGTGTACACACCACACCTAGGGGAGGCCCAGGACTAGTTGAGCCTACCTACTCCACCACCCACTTGACCGCTGAGCCTACTCAATCGACCGCTGAGTCACTCACTACCGTTGAGCCGCCCACTCGACCTCTGAGCCGACAACGTTTACTGATCATGTTTCCTAGAAACCGCTGTTGGGAAAAAAATATTCCTGGTAACATGCTTCCTTGCGTACACTGGGCTTTAGACTCAAGGGTCTTCCCAGTGTGGACTCGGCGTGCCGGAGATGCAGGTGGCCTCGCGCTCGATTTACAAATCGCAGCACTCGTGCTCATTATTCCGCTGCAAAAGGCCATCGAGGATAATTCGTTCAATTTAAAGCCAATTGCATCGTGGCATGTTAGCTCAACCAATTTTATTTTACGTGTGGACAACTGAGTAAAGCTAGCATCGGAACGAGTTATTTGTTGACACTGCTGCTGTGGCAGTGGTGCACAGGCGCAATTTACAAACAAGATCAACTCAACAAACTCTTCAACAGCACTGCATTAAAATCTAAAATACATTATCTGCGACAATGCAGGCAATAGTCCTTCTGAATGGCAAATAAACAGAGGACCGAGAGACAGAGTTCATCAGGGTTGGAGACTGCAGCCGACGCGTTCCTGAAATGTGCCGCGCAAAGCGAAAACGCGATCAGGGAAAACAATTTCCCCAACAAGAAATCATGTGAAAGGTGAGGGGTGGAGGTGCGAGGGGTGGAGTTATTGGGGTGTGGAAGAATTCCAATCAACGCTCAAGAAAGTAGGCTCGTCGTCGACTGCTCAGAAACCACGTTAAAACGTTACAATGGTTCGCCTAATAACGTAATAACGATGCGCGTTCATTGCTTTGCGTGAAAAGTGGTCCCCAAGAGAAGCAGCGTGTGAACGCCACGCGTTAAGGGAGGACTGACTGTAGCAGCTATTGCGTATTCACAACTTTTGGAAACTGCTCTTTGTGTTTTAGTTTGTTGTCATTCCCTCCCCCCCACACACCTGCCATGAGCACGGTTGGCTACGTACGGTGCGAAAGAAGTTCAAGGTGCATACATGATACTCATTTTAGAATGTTGCCGGCACAGTGAACTGTGGGAAGGTTTGTTTCTAACTGGTCGACATCACTGAGGCAGAGAGAGAAAGATCCGACCCAGTAGTATCACTTCCGTTATTGTTCATCGCCACCATCTTCATCATCAATCACGCAGCCTCAGTCGTCTCATTACCGCCATGATCTGCTTGTTTAAATTGTGACAAATCTTTCGCTCGCTCACACAAAGCCCTTCGGGTGCTATTTTGTAAAATAAACAGCGTGCATCTCGAGGTATAATGGATGCCTTCCGCTGCGTTGAATAACGTCGTGCTTTGGGATCGCGTTTTGTTATTCACAGCTACACCCCATCAGCCTTCTCACTGAACACACATTAATTACAATTTGGGATGGAAATTAAACATCAATTCATGCCGAATAATTCACGAGAGTATCGTGAAGTTAAACAGACCAGTCCAGTGACTCCACGCCCCTCCTCGGCCTGATGGCAGTACAGTTTCTCAACATTATTTTGAAATTTAGCCTCTCATTGACCTTTGCCTTCACAAAAAAAAAACCCAACACAGCGATCGATAGCACTGCCTTAAATAAAAATACATATCCAACAGGCGGCATTGTTTGGCAGTGGGCCCTCTTCGTGGATAGAGGCCAGATCGACGGCGGGGGTATTTAAAACCAGGGACTTCACTTAACACTTTAAATTAATATTATTGTTCATGTTTATTGATGACCAGTTATTAAATAGGCCTATGGATAATTCACAATTAATAGCTGATGAATAACGCACTAAACCTTCTGTAATCAAAACGTATTACGAAATAAAATAAATTGTATTAAAAGTACAATTTTAATAGGTAGTTGACACATTGCATTATGGGAAGAGATTCGTTCTCGTGACGGCCAAATTACAACGGACTTAGAAATGCATTCTTCGGCCCAATTAGCATTTCAAAGGGACGGATTGACCTGTCCTATATCCCTGAAGCTGAGATTTCCTGAGAAATCAAATGTGAGGAGGTGCGTATATATGGAGCTAAATCGTATGAACGGACTCTGAAAAACGATAAGGGTTGTCTAGCGCTCGATAATAAAGATATGTCTGAAGTGAAGGCGTCCATTCAGTCCCACCGACTGAGCGGTTCTCAGTTTTCTGGTCTCATTCACCCCAGGAGTCGAGACGAGGCCACGCACAGACGCCACGGAAGCCGTGGGCTCCCCACTCTCGAGGAGACGAGCCGCTGGTCTGTGGACTCAACGTCTGCACGGCGAGCTGACCCAAGATTTTCATTCAAATCCCTCGCCGAGACATTTATCAATTTTCTCCAATGTCGTGGGGGGGCCACAGCGTCCGCACGCGATGTGATGTGCCAGGTCGGTCGAGGTGCTTGTCGACCTACGACGGTGCGTCACAGATGATTCTCTGCGCTGTTGTTACGCTCGTGTCGGCGGATGTGTTTAGTGGGTTGTTTCTTTTGTGCTTGTGCACCACTGCCAATTGCAGCAGCAGCAGCAGCTTCACGAAATAATGTCTTTGCTCTCACCACGCCCCCACAAGCGGATGTGTTTAGTGGGTTGTTTCTTTTGTTGTTGTTAATTGTGCTTGTTCATCACTGTCAAGCGAAGCAGCAGCAGCAGCTTCAAGAAATAATGTCTTTGCTCTTACCACACCCCCACACTGCAGAATCATTAGTTTTCCTTGGAAAATCCGATGAGCTATGAAAGCTTTGATTCACAGATGTCCCAGTAGGGGCGGGTCAGAACGGTACGCCCCTCCACAAAGTGGAGGTTGTCCTATGGTTTGCCTCGACCCCACCATGGGAATGTGGAATTGCCACCACCGTCGTAGGACTGAAAAACGGGGAATGAGTACCGTCTCAATGGTCATTTGATCAGGAAATAACTTTGATCTTTTAAATTGCAACAAGAACAACAACACAAGAACTAAATTGCATACAAACTCCTCGCCGCGCTGCTGTGGCCCACCGCGTGGTGATCGTCATGCGGTCACGTGTTCGGAGCTCATTGCAAAATGTTTACAAACAGGTTAAAGTCCAAACGAGGTCGTGCTGGCTAACACCTGCTTCCGTCTGGTTCACAGCGACGTTAAAGATCCGGTTGACGTCGCATGGCCATTGGGCCGACATCAAGGATCTAACTTTTGTAAACGTGAAGCACGAACTGCAAGTTACAGCAAAATCACCCCCCCCCCCCTCCCCCATCAATATAACCATACAGATGATGTCCGTGAAACATACTTGCTCAAAGAATGGTGCAAGAACCAAATGTGCCCCTCTGTACACGGGCACACGGAGTGGAGGTCTGTTTGACGGTAACGTGTTGTGACATCTAAGAGAGTGATCCGGGACTCTGCGGGTTGCTGTAGCGCTGCGTCTCGTGTTTGTAAGGGGGCGGCAACCAGCCGACCCTGGCTTCTTTTGCGTGACAACAATCACCGGCACCACGGCACTCTCAGCACCACGCCGCTGGTGCAAATGATTTTGTAAGCCATTCAACACGAGTCTCACTGACGGTGCAGGTTACATGGTGCTGCGATGATCCATCAGTGTTTGGAGTCATGCTGCCCACACCGATGGGGGTAAGATGTAAACATTGGCAAAATAATTCAGAGGTCGTTCTTATTGATGTGTCTTCCAGTTTTGTGCGTGTGTTTCTTACCACCCTTAGTAGATTCAACTTTCGGTAACATCGACTGCCCAAGCTCAGCCATTAATACCAATTAGAAGTTCAATTATATTTCGTAAATAATATATGACCCCTTCTCATATATACTGCTGTATAAAGGCCCAATCCCAAACTACTCTAAAAACTAAATAATGTTTTTTATTTTATTTTATAAAGTCTGGCCCACTGAGCTATATAGATCTTTTTGAGACGCGACCTGGTCACAAATGATAGCTCAACGAATTGCTTATCGCGTGCAAATTTAAAGCAGCCACATACTCTAAACGCATGTTTCTAAATGTGGAGGTAAATACCGGAGGACCCGGAGAAAAATCCAGGCGATCACAGGGAGAACATGCGACCTCCAAGTATACAGCAGGCGTCAGGGTCAAGGTCGAACCAACGACCTCCTGTATACCAGGCGAAGTAGTTGACATCTTGCCACCGTGGGGCCCCACTCCCCCTCCAAAAAAACATTCAGTAATTGGGATATTTCCAGCATACTTCACCATGCTGATCAGTGTGGGAGGGTACGCAGGGGGTGGCTCAGAACTAAATCGACGTCGCTCACGAGCGAGCAACGTGGCCGGGAATCGAACTCTGGTTACTGAGTTCATCGCACAGAGCACGAACTTTCCTGAAGACGAGTAGCGAGACTC